TTTATTCCTGGTTTCACCTCTCCTTCTTGTTGTTCCATTTTGCGTTGCCAAACCTACAAGTTGTTTTCTTTTTCTACGATGTATACAATCAACAATTAACAATATTTATAGTTGCATATAATGGTTGATATTTACGGGTATACACTATTTTAAACTTTGTTATCTGTCGAATTGAGTTGAAAATTCAAGAATTGTTTGGGAGTGCAGTAAGTGGCAACAGTTTGCTTGATAGAGAAGAAGTTGTGCCTGCAAAAATAAAAAAAATAATCTTGCTGAAATAAATGGATTAAAAAATCACATGCGTAGTTTCATAGACCTACCATATTCAGAAAAAGAACGCTATCTTAAAATCTACAAACTCGTCGATTTTATATTTGATGTTTTCTTGCACATTTTGCAAGTTCGCAAACTGGAAGGAAATACTTTACTAATGTAAACATAAGACTTAGTGTTTACATCCGTAAAGTATTTCCAAACTCATTCTGTACTGGGTGAAATTATTATGGAAAATAAAAACTCTACGTTCTCATTGGCATAGCCCTTCTCCATAATTATTTACGGAAAAGTTTACTAATTTTACTGATACTGAAATTTTCCCTTTGGAAGCTCTCATGGGTTCAGCCACATCTACATAACATACCACGGTTGTGATGAAAAAGGTGTGATGTTCAGGAACTAGTTAAAATTTTAGATTAATTTCAAAATGCTTAAAAATGTATCTCGTTACTTGATCAATCTTGCAACGAATGAACTGAAAATTCATCAAAGTTCTGCAAGAGCAAGTTGTAAACCAAGAATGAGGGATCCTGCGTATGGAATTAGTTTGATTCCAAATGCTTGGAGTTTTGAGAAATTTTAGTTTTTTCAACAAATGTCGAAATTTTGCCCCACCTTACTCTACCAGAATTGATAGGCTTTTCGCGTTCATTCAGTCAGAGTCCTCATACGAATGAAATATGTGTCAACGCTAGGGGGATTAATCTGAGTGTATTAAGTTAAAAAAAATAAACTTGTGTGTACAACACTATATATGATGAACAATTAAGCTGTATGTCATTTGAGGATTAATAATACACCTAAACCAGCGTCGGCAGTTATATTCAATCAACCACAGCCCACACTTATGGGATCTAGGTAAACATTTGATAAATCACGAAAGAATGTTATCTTATCGGAGTACAGACCGGCGCTCCAGCAATATTTCCACCGATGACTGCATTTTCTTCACTCATCAATAAACATTATTCCGGAATGCGATAACGACAAAAGTCACATGTTTGACAGGGGGTTACCTAATGAGTATTAAATTGAGTTCGCCAAACAGACGATTGATTTGTCTGGAATGTTACTAAATTAAATCATATTGGAAACAAAAAATGATGACAGAAGAAAAGTATTCAGTATGTGAGAGTTGACGTATTAAATCTGAAGTTTACAGTGAAAGATTATGCAAACGCAATTAAAAAGGTGTTGGTCAATATGAATCTGAGTTCTTGATGTGACCAGCAATGAGGTTGGTTTACAGTTCTCATGAAATGTTATGTGTCGCATGATTAGTGTTGGCTCTAGTTTGAAACTGGACACTCAATATGTCCCATTTTGACCAGGATCTTGTTTTTGACTTCTGATGTGATTTGATGCGTCTAATAATGACTGGCCTCTTCCTCAGAGGTACCCGGAACATGGCTGAATGTGACCAATGTGGTCCTGCGTACTCGATTTGGTTGTCATTGATCTTGGTTTTGAATTCTGATGTTTTTTTTTACTTTTATTGTTCCAAATTCAAATCAATTTACATTCATATTTTAATCCAGGTCCTCCTGCTACTACAGTAATTAACCAACCTTATTTGTTATGATTTATATCTCAGTGCCTTAGCAGTTCATCATTTTGAACAGGGTTTTTATGCATACTTGCGTGTCAGTTCCGTTGTCTGCAGGTTCCATATATGGAACCATGACTGTATTCTGGCTAATTATGAACATTTGTGCCCATTAATCTAAATAACGGATCTTAAGCAACTGGCAGAACCCATAAACACACCTTAAAAAAAAACTCGTTACACTCTTTTCGCTTAAAAAAAAGTAGACGATCCTATTTTTAATCTTTATACAATCAAAATAATTTACAGGCCCTACGAATTCTAGAGGTATAATAAATGGCTTATGTCATTGCAAACTTGCCGTTACACGTTTTTCGGAGGCTTTGTAGTCGACGGAAAAAAAATTACCCTCCGTATTTGGAGTGTTAAATAGCTGTCAGATGTTGCAACCACCGGTTGGGCCGTGGGCGGCTTCAGCCATTGCTTGTATGGCCTATGTATTGCTAATTGAACTTTTAAACAGTATGATGTATTGCCAGATAAATTTTGGCTCATTTCAAATTCTGGTCACTTCCGAGGGGCTCCCGAGACATGGCCGGGCATGGTCAAGGCATGAACAGTTTATTTTAAATTCTCATGTAGTTTGATGTATCATATGCAAGATTTTGAATTATTCAGATTTTGGTTTATGAGGGTATCTGAAACATGTCCGAATGATGGGTTTTGCCCCAAGTCAAAAACTAGAAACTACTCGTTATATGTCCTGGTCAGACAATGTGGTCCTGGTCACTTAATTGAACTTCCATTGGACTAGGTTGTGAATTCTCATTTGATTTAATTTAAGTGTCGCATGATGAGTTTTTTTTTTAAATCAGAAACTGGTCACTTCCTCGGGTGTATCCGGATCATGTCCACATGTGACCAATGTGGTCCCAGGTTCTTGATATAACTACCATTGAACTTGGCAGGGATGGATCGCTATTTGGAACATCGGTCATAACTTTTTATTGAGAAAGCTTATGTTAAGTCCAGTTGAATTTTCAGTTAATCCATCTTAACATAGATGGATTAATGCTATTATTACAGATGTGCATATTGGGCCTCCCTTAGCTCAGTCGGTAAAGGCGCAGCTACAACCACCATGACCACCAAACCATGCTGGAGATGGCTGGGTTCGACTCTTGGTTCGGTCTAGGAATTTTTCGCATTGTAAAATTTCTCGACTTCCATACCCTAATAAAAATGTTATGGTTAACGTGTTCAGGGTATCATCCAAACCATTAGGTGATCATTCGATTATGGTAATTTTTATTAGGGTGGCATAGAGTATGATTGTACTTGCACCACAATTATACTAATGAAAACATGGTACAGGCATCGAAAGTTCTCAATTAATAACTGTGAAAATGCAGAAGAAGATGAATAAGAAAATAAAAAGAAGAAGAAAGGAAGAAGAAGAAAGGAAGAAGAAGAAGAAGAAGAAGAAGAAAAAGACAAGAAGAAGAAAGGATCTTTCTGTTTTATCATGGAATAACTGAAAATTTAATTGGTCTTAGGTTTTGATTCCTTGGAGGTACGCTTATCCGGATGTGGCCAAAATAATCTTATTTACTCGATATGACTAACATTGACTAACATGAATGTAATATTTTTTAGTTAACCCTTGAAAAAGGCCATAATAAACGGCCGAAACGTCGGGAACTGCAAAACTAACTGTTTGGATTACCCTAGACTGAGAAAGCCATATAAAAGAAATCTCCATAGGTACCAGTCGAAAAATCTAATAAAACTGCACGCAAACGAGCAACTTGTAAGCAATGTTGTTTACAAAGCTGGACTTTTGCATACAATATTCATAAATGTCTTTACACGATTTATAATGTAAACTAATATGATATGTGCATCATATTGAACAGAAATTTACACTACTTTTTCGAAGTATCTGGAACTTGTACGGGTGTGGCCAACTGGGTCCTGGGTACTCAATGTGGCCACCGTTTATCTTGTTTTCGATTTTTTTTTATTATTATTATTATTATAATAGCCACTTTAACGCTCTTGGATCATTCGTGACTTGTCCGGGGGTGATATTTTGATTCGTGACTTTGGTTTGAGAGGTATGGATGGTAACCTCTACGCCAGGGTCGCCCCCTAAAAAAATATTGTTATTCTGATGACTGTTTGTGTTGACTACTAACCGTTTGAGTTTTATTATAAAGGACCGATATTATAAACCTGACTGATCTGCTATATATTTGTGATCACCTTTTACCATTCTTATGTCAAGATATTCTCATTTATTGTCACTAAAATATCAAAATCGATCATCATCTCACTAGAACTGTAGTTCAGCTGAGATAATTATGCTAATATTTGCTTTGTGTATTCAGGTGTGATATGGTATGCTTATAAAAATAAAATAAAAATGCACAATAATATTTACAAATCCCCCCATACTGGGGCTTCACAACTGTATAACCCTTTATATTGCGGATTAGTATTATTGTTTTGGGGGGACCGATCCGTTTGCGTTCTAAAATAACCCTTCCTTTCATGAACATTCTCTTTCGTGTTTTCCTTACCACAGCCTTTGGTCTACCTACCCGTTATAAACATGAATTTGCTCAACCTGCAGTGCCAGTCAGTGCCATCGATTTGCCTCATTGCTCTTAGTTGTCTCGCAGTACGGCCTTCTATAACTACCTACGATGCGTGCAATAGTCCATGAAAACCAAATTTTATCACTTATTCAACCGATCGGCTTTCCATGTGGTGAAATAAAATAAAAGCAATTCTTCCAGTGAAGACCTTGTACACAAATTAACTTACTACTCCATTTGGTGGATAAAAAGTAGGTAGTAGCAAAGCAATAACTGCTGATGCCGCCACTAAAATTCCTTAAAAAAAAGTTCTGCTAATTCCGCCTCCTCAGTTGCACCTGCGAGCGAACGGAAAGGGCAACATAACGTGCCTTTTCTCTTCAGAGGTGAATGAAGAGTTGGACCCCAAGCAGAACGGAAGAGGTTCAATGATTTTAGTGAAAACTTACGCTGATGTCATTGAGTGAATTCTTATATCTTAGCCGTATATAAATAACATAAAAAAGTCGCTCTTGATTAGTTTCTATCGATAATTTCACTTATTTGCATAATTGTAATTCTTTGCTTATGTTTTACAGACGCTTGTTCAAGTCGGACGACCCCAAAACCTAGACCACCTAGTCCGACAGCTCGACCAAATATCACATTCCACACGTATAAATGTCCACCGGCTTACGCGGCGTGGTACTGCCTCAATGAAGCCACCTGCTTTACCGTTAAGATTGGTGATTCGCTGCTGTACAATTGCGAGTAAGTTCCAATCACACAAGACCAGTCAATAAACAAATTAAATAAATTTTCTACTATTTTCAGGTGTGCAGATGGGTATATGGGTCCTAGGTGTGAATACAAAGATCTAGATGGATCATACTTACGTAAGAATACATATGTTGTCATATACAGTTGCACACTTCAATTGACATTGTGTCATTTCTTTTAATTATAGCAACTCGGCCTCGAGTGATGTTGGAGACTGCTAGTATAGCAAGTGGTGCCATTGTCGCTGTGGTCCTAGCAACGATTGTTTGTTGTTACATATGCGTGCATAAGCATCAGCAGAAGAAAAGACTGGAAAGCGCCAACGGAGGTGTTGACACGGTGGATGGCGTGCTTCGAACAGTGAGAAGTGACTTACCTAAACGGCCATTTGGTTCCCATCACCTGCGGACGATACCTCTGAGTGAATCGTTAAATCGATAGATTAATGAAGACTCTTTCCTCAGTTGAGAAATGTTGGCCATCAGGAGATACAAGATTGAAAAGACAAATTGCCTTCATAGAAAGCAGGACACTCTAGGAACCTCCAATTAATTGTCAGGTTAACTCCAAAATGGCACCAACCTGACACGGACGGTGTTCCATTACAACACAAAACTGCCATGATCCTAACAACATTTTACAAACTACTTGAACGTCACAAAACGCAATTTCGAGATGGATGCCTGCTGTGGGTGGAGTGATGCGGCAAAGTGTAGTTTTTTTTATAGACACAACAGTTACTTTTTATACATGTGCGATGTACTGCTGATATTAACAACAGGTGCCTATAGGAATAGATCATTTGTGATTCGAAGAACGGAATAATCAAAAAAGTACTGTCAGTTGATAGTTTACACAGTTTACAAATGTCTGGAAGTTTTAAATGGAATAACGCGTTGTAGCAGTAAAAAAGAGTGCCGCTCAACAAAATGATTTCTCAATCATCGAATTGAACATAAATCTAACAAACGACAAAATCAGTCTACCGTCCTCATCTACTTAATTTTTGGCCAAAATCAGAAAACCATTTCGTGATAATTTAAATTGTAATTATTGAAATAGTAGATTGAAATTTGTATCTTTTAAACACGCCACATTTATTTTTTTATTTTTATGAGTAGTTGAGACGGATGGATTGTGTTTTAGCTAGGCTTGGTAATCTATTTCTCGAATGGGAAGAAGGAAGAAATCAATGATCTTGCCAATTAAGAGGATGCAAAAAATTTTAAACATTTCTGTAACGTGCCATCTTCTCATTTCGAAGTGTTTCACTCGTTCCACTTGTTTCTGCTTCCTCCTGACTCGGTGCTCAGGAGCTCAAACATGCAACCATATAAAATGTATTAACAGCTAAGACAACTTAGTATGCATTTATAAAAGCAAATACACTAGCAAAGATCATTCTCAAATATATGCAAAGAAAATATCTCTGAAAAGGTAAGCAATTTTATTTTTATAAAAAGCCAGACTATCACAGAGTCATAGCAATGGAATAGTTTATAAACAAATGCCAAAACAGGTTATATTGCATTAACCCTGTGCTACTTTGCCTATTGGGACAACCTTCCTACGTTAATTTCAGTTAGTTATTATTGAGTTAATTATTTAAATATTTATTCTAGTTACTTTATCTCATTTGCTTGTTATAAGTATTTCAGTTGCATGATCATCTGGAGCAAAATCGAGAATGTATTTTCATTATAGGAAAACAAAGTGAAACAAAAATGTGATAGTCTGACCGTAGCAAACGAAAATGATACTGCATCGGTTGATTTCCGTAACCTATTTCAAATTCAGATGAAAATGATGAAACTACAGACTACAAACGATGAAAAACACTACCTGTACATTTTATACTGCAATAATCAACAAATAACTGAACGTAAAGTAGTGGAGGACGAGAGAAGTAGAGCAAGGGAAGCAAACACAGATAAATCACCAGAAGTAATTAATTTATATACATCTTCATAAACTATCGAAAGTGCGGTCAAAAGCAAAAACAAGTATTCACAAAACCATTGTAAATACGTTTTCGGAAACAGGATACAAAGAAAGACAGAAACATCGTCTTTGTATTTATCGTTTCTTCTTAAATTAGGCTGATATTTTAATGTTAGGTAGATAGATACTTTTATTTAATTGCTTATTTCCGATAAGTTCTGGTTCCAATGAGTCGAAAGGGGCTTCGAATGATTGTGAAGCGTGAGAGCGAGCGTGATGTATTGAGCGTACAACATTTGATGCGAATTCCACGTTGCCCGGTGTCTCGTACTGACAGTATTCTCGAGGATAGTCCTGATCTGTGTAGCTAATTTATATGTACATTTACTTCTGTTACGATTGTTTTATCCAAGTCCGTTTGTATTAAGCTACATTCCTTCTATAAATCAATAGGGTTCTCCCGTTTGTCAGACACCGGTGATACTGAAGGCAATGCAATATTTCGTACCAAACCAATTGGATTTGTAATATATTGATTTGTATAGAAGAAAATACAATTTTGTATATTTTGAGCTTTAAATAAAATTAATCAACATGTTTTGTTGGTCATTAATTATTAATTACGCATACGAAAGTGGAAGTTTTCTTCCGATATCCGATGATTCCGTTCCTACTTACACTATCTTTAAAATCTTGTTAAAAATTAAAAACCTGAAAGTATCAGGAAATTATGAGACATGCGGCCCCTCTATTCTGCTCGCCATTTGATGTGAGCAAAGTCACGTCGTGTGACGGACTCTCGTCACACAACGTGATTTTGGTCACCGATATTTCGATTACATTTTTAGGAAGGTCCTATCTGCTTTTGTTGTTTAAAAAATCTATCAACTTTTATTGTGTACATGTCTGATGTGATACATTGTCTAACAACCGATGCGTAGGTATAATCTCCAATTTACTGTTTTTACCCATTCCAGGTGACGTGACACGCAGATTCTTGGCCTGTTATTACTCTTTTCGTTTAAATCGTATAATAAACTACATAATATGGCAACCCTAATAAAATTTGTATGGTTATTTTGCTTAATTACGTGTTCAGGGTATCATCCAAACCATTTGTGGAATTGTTCTATCATTTACGTAACGTAATTTTAAGGGGAGCGTTACTTATGGTTTCATTGGGGGGATCCAACATTTGTTGCGTTACATAATTTGTATACCGTTTCAGAGTGCGAAAATGTTATTCAAGTGATAACTTTAGATCGCGACAAGTTGTCTTTCTTCAGTCAAGTTTTTCAAAAGGTCCATACACGTTTAGTAATGAACAGTTTAGTTAGGAATTGACTCGCTAGGTGGTGCCATAGTTTAAATAGATTTCTTCTAATGATAACTTCAGATTGTGCTCAAATAGAAATAGCAACGTTGTTTATCTGGATAAGACCATACTTGCAGTGCACAGTTTAATTATGAATAGAGTCATTGGGTGTCGCTAGGTTGTAAAACATTGATAATGATTTATCTGATGCTCTTAATCTGATTTAAAGTTCCTGTTTTGGGCAAAGCGGTTAAGCTGGACAACAGGTTGCTTCACGAAGTAAAGCTGAAGATGATACACGTGTTTTAATGAGATTTTTGTTGTCTTTTCGCGATTCCGATCAAGCTATGTCCTCAACGATGTGTATTGCAATAATGAACTACCCTACGGCTTAAACTCTCAAAAAAAAAGTTTAATAAAAAAAAAAGTAAAGGGTTGTGTCCTAGACACGACCGCAGTATGACGTAGAACCACACAAAATTGATGTTTTTCATGCATTTTTGACTATTATACTTTATCTTAAAATTTTCAAGTATTTCAATGTTTCGGTTATGGTTGACTCAAAACAATTTACACATTTTTCTTGACAAATATCCATGTGAAATTCCACATGATTTTCATTTGATCACACATAAACAGAATCCACTCAGAAGTACACATGAAATTTACACGCAAATGAATAGTATGTGTGGTCACGCATGGTTTTTATATGTATATATATTAAGTATGTGGCCGAAACATAGATATTGATTTGTTGATCACGTTGCAACAACTCATGTGTGGGACACATAAAAACAATATTTGAGCTTTTGTTAGTGTTCAATGTTGGTTCAAGTATTTTTCCTGGAATGTAATAAATTATGAAAGTTCAAATGTATGGTCCTAAACAAGCCGTTACATATTTTGGTGTAGACACTGGTAACTAGTGTCTATGAGCGTTAATGAGCAGTGGCATGAGAGCAGCGCTGATTTATATCTTTTCAGGTTCAAGCAGAATGATGTGCAAATAAGTGGTATTCGTTTATGATGACTGTGTTTGGGAAAAAGGCTTATTTCATGAAATCAGTGATAAAATTATCATTTGTACATTTTCAAAAGTTTAATTACAGAAAAATTGGAAAAATATTTATTTCAACAGGTTTGTAACGTAATATCCTATCGATTGGCGTATTTGGATTTTAATTTCATCTATAAATGACAAAGTTACAAGCGTTCAAAACCTAACACTCCTTCACCACACATATTTTTTGACTTGCACCCCAGTATAGTCGACAAAGACGTAGTTCTACGTCAAAAATACATCAAAGCAGAGATGCGATATATCATTATCCTTCTACCACTCCAACCAAGGTGTGTTGCAGAGAGAGTTTGTCGTAGTAGTTGTAGCAAGCGTTTTGTCTGTATCAGTGCTGTTTATTTTCATATCATTCGATTGATTATGTGAAAACGAATTTTCTCATGCCCATCATTTGTAGAGCCCTTTTCTCACTCGAACCTTATCGTCACTGTTAATTGAGTCACTCAATATCATTTGAGATACGACAGGGGAGTATAAAAGACATCCTGTATTGACATGTTGACCCGATGTCGGATCAATGTAAGCCACATTTAAAATCGATGTCGATCCAATATCGAGTCAAATTTGGGTTTATGTCTGGTCAACATCGGGTTGGGGTTTGGTAGAAGTCAGGTTGGTGTCGGGTCGGTTTAGCCTGAATGTCGACCAGAGCTCCGTTTGTGTGTAGGTTACACTCAATTGAATGATATCAAGCGTTTCTCAAATGAGAATGATCCATGCTTTCGTCAAATGACTAAGTAAATTGATATCACCCATTGGAAGGGGGTCTCTTTGGTAGCTGCTTTTCTCATTTTCATCAAAAATGTTCAATTGATTTTGATAATTTACAGCACTGGTCTGTATCGTTGGTTGCTTTATGTGTTTGGATTCACTTCTGATGACAGAAAAATTCGACCTAGTCTTGAGGTTGAGTTATCAATAAATGAACTTTATTTGTACTTTGACGCAATCTGGTCAGTCAATTCCCAGCTAAACTGTACACTATTGAACGGGTCTCTCCCATTTGAACAGCTATGCAGAAGACAAGAAACATCTATCACTAGCGCGACTGCTAAAATAATTAAATGCACAGTTGCCCCTCAGGAAAAATTATGACTTTAGAGTAAATTGGTAGCAAATGTTCTTCTTTAATATCGGTCTCCTGAATCCGAATCAGCTGCTCAAATTCCTGTGCGAATTGTATGTTTTGTAGAATTAAAAAGATTTCATAAAATGCACAGTTGCGTCCAAATGTATGCATTTTTTTTTAAATCACTGCAAATTTCATGGAAAACCATTGGTTTCTCAATATTGGAAACACTTTACCGTAATTTATTAAATAACTAAGATGGAGGCGAACCAGCCTCAGGCTGAAAGCCTCCTAACATATGTAACATAAGTCCTGGGCATACTTTCAGGTGTTTATTTGACGGCATGAACAAACACACATATGTCAACCAATGCACTTGTCACGCTTATCTATACTACTACTGAACTGTCAAACTCAAATTGCGCAGTAGTTTCCATTTAAAATGTCGTACATGCTGGATTTATGTGCACAAGTCGACAACCTTTTTGGACGGCTCAGTACAAGTGAAATTCTAAGCATGTTCAAAGACAAGCCAGTATCAAAATCAACTATTTATCGTGTTTTGAAGGATTGTCGTGATGGCAAAGAACCGGAAAATAAAAAGAAATGCGGTCGCCCAACAAAATTGAGTGCCAGAACAACCAAAAAATGTTGTCAAGTGCTGAAAACAAATTTGGTCAATCAACACGCAAATTAGCACGAAAATTTCATGTTTCAAACATGACAATCCATCGGATTGAAAAAAAAAATACAACGTAATCTATCGGAAACGTCATCGTGCTCTAAAATATATATCTTCCAATCGGGTGTACTCAAGGCTACGGTGTACGACAACGGCTGGGAAGCTCAAATTGAGCAACAATTGGTTGATCGAATCAAGCAAAATTTAAAAGAAATCGTCAAAGACACCGTCCAAACCCTGATTCAACGATTTCGCTGCACACTGCGAAAAATCGAAGATAATGGTCCATTAAGTGTTTTCCCAGGACTTATGTTACATATGTTAAATAAAGATAAATCAATCAATCAAATAACTAAGATTCATTGACACTTAGTTTAATGAAAAATACGACTTTCAAGATAATTACAAAAATCGTTAGAACTCTATGACCGTTTGTTTGAATGCTGATATTGAAAGCTTTTGAACTTCAGTTAAATAAAATTGAAATTTATGTAGTGAAATCTACTTTTTTATAATGAGAAACTCAACAAAAAACTATTTTCGAATTGCTGCGGGGCAAAATGCGCAATTATTTTATACCAATGAAGCATACATTTAGGCGTTATCTATGTTTGTCCATTATGGAATTTTAAAGGTTCACGCGTGATGGTTATGCTTTTCCAAAACAATTCGCGGGGGGTTCATTAAGCCCCACATATGATAACAAATAATAACGTTGAAAATAACTACTATTTTTTTTCTAATAAATATCCCAGTCGAGCTATTTAGCTGAAAGATAAAAGATGTAAATTATAAATTTTGATAGTGTTTAGAGATACCAGCTATTTTAAGGAATTACTTTCTTGCGTAGTTTTCTGCACTGTTTTCGAACGAATGGGATACACCATACAAAACAACATATATATTTGGGTTAATGTCCCTAATGTTGGCCTAAGTGTTCCTAATGTATCCGTTTGCATTGTCCAGATGACGTATTGTCCTAAGAAACATTGAAGAACAGGAGATTTTTTATCGATTGGACCAATCTTTGGATCCATAGGCCAACATATCTTTATATGGCGTATCCCATTAATCTTAAAACATAAATCCTGATACTATTGAAAGGAATTTGTGTTTAACCCTCATTATTAACCTTCTTACAAAGAAGGTTACCCATACTGCTTGGAAAACCAACTTTCGATCCGAAGCCCGCTGGACCAAGTGTCATATACCAATCGACTTAGCTCCACGCGGTCGGAAAATGTCTCTCTGTGTTTGTGTGTATGGAAACTCAAAACCAAGACCAATGGTGCTCATATTGATTGTCCAGGATTGGTTACATCTGGACATGTTTCGGGTACGTGGACAGTTTCTGACATGGGCCAAAACGCATCATGCGACATCTCAAATCACATGAGAATTCGAAACAAGTTCCATATTTGAGTAATTGGGAACCTGGGACCACATTGGGCTCATCCGAACATGTTCCGGGCGCAT